TCAAAATTTAAGTTGTCTGGAGCATATGCAAATTGTTATTGAGATCCAAGGTTTTCAATTTTGGTTCTTAATAAATTTTCTCTTTGTATTGTGCTTAAGTTTGTTAGTAGACAAATGTCTCTTATTGGCTCAATCATATATCTTTATGTATTTTTTCTACCAACAGTCGCTAAGATTATTGGGGGATGCATCTGCTTCCTTTGAAAAGAACTGCGTTAGAGGAATTCAAGCTAACAGAGAAAGGATATCAAAATTACTCCATGAGGTCATTTAATTCTTTATATTTAATTTTGTAGTGCTATATAAAGCACACCAAAACACACTGATCAGTGCTTTTCTGACTTATTTACATCTAAATGCAGTCTCTGATGCTTGTCACATCGTTGAATCCTGTAAGTTCTAAAAAACTTAAGTATGCATATCCTCCTAAATTTTGTGCTCTGAATAATCTTTCATTCTGCCTCTTCTGTTTTTAGAAAATTGGCTATGACAATGCTGCAGCAGTTGCTAAGAAAGCCCATAAAGAGGGAACTACTTTGAAGGTATCGTACTCTTTTCTTTCTGTGATATAATTCTGTCTTTTGATAACTTGTGACTAGTATTTACTGAAACTTTTAGTCAGCTAATGTTAAAACTGTTCTGTGATACTGATGCTTGTTAAAACACCTGAAGTTTTGGTGGGCTTCACTCCTTGAAATATCAAGTTACTAGTATTCATGTGCTTGTAACAAATTAAAATTTATGTAATTGAGATGGTGGTGTACAATGTGAGATTCATGTTGCTGTGCTGCTAATTTAGTTGAAGAACACTTTTTTTTAATAAATTTGCATGCTGGATAACCATAATTTTAAATCTAAACAAAGTTAAATCTTGCAGAAAGCTGCCTTGGAACTTGGAGTGCTCTCGAGTGAAGAATTCGATACTCTTGTGGTGCCTGAGAAAATGATTGGCCCATCCAATTGAGTCTTGACAAGCTACCAAGGACCTTCAAGTTCCAGATTCCCTGATTTAAGCCAGAATTTGAATTTTTGAACTGTGTCTCTATCAGTTGGATAAGAGAAAATAATGATCCTACAATATTTTTTTCTTAATTCTTTAAAACACAATATATCTTGAGGTTTGTCCATTAGATGGGTTCAATCCTTTATAAGCATTCTACTACTGAGGTAAAGTAGTTGTTTATCGGCTACGAGGGGAGAAAAAACCCCTCATTCTGTAAGATAGACATTGTATTGGAGGAAAGATAAATTGCAGAATAAATTTGAAGGAAATGCTTTACTATTCACTGCCTTAGAGCATGCAACATATATCTTCTCTGAAAACTGCATTCTGACATGTACGTTGTCTGGTCCATGAATAGGTATTCGTCTCTGGAAGCTGCCAAGCCTCCTCAGCTTCTTGCAAAGATAAGTAAAGCTTAGTTTGATGACCTATCATCACTTCCATATATTTTCTCTGTAAAATCAGGGCATAGCTTTGTAATTTGAGGTTATCTGGTCCCAAATTGCTGGAAGAAGAAATTTGCTTCCACCAGCAGCATAAGCATTGTGGCTTGCCTTGGTGGTTTTATCCAACAACGTAAGGCCAAGCGCAGACCAGGACACTGAACCAAGGGTTCCCCTCTCTGAGCATTCACTATTCTACACTCCTGATGAACCACAATGCTCTCATGAAACCGCGACAATACATATTTATTTGATTGGTTTAACTAAAATTAATCGGTTCAAATAATGAGATTGAGTAATCTTTAAGTATTATTTATTTTAATATTGATTGTAATTTCAAATGTGTAATTTGATAATTTATTATTAATTAATAATTTTATATTTATCATTTGATAACAAATTTTTTATCAACGATTAAAATATTTTAATTAGTGCACCGAATAAGCCAAGATCTCAACTCATTTAATGAATTTTAACAATCTTGCTAGTTTTCCATTAGTGTGATTATACATTATGGTACTGATAAAGGATATAATTATAAGTTTTAGTTAAGTTCTTAGGCATTGTAAAATCTCCAAGCTACATGATATTTACTCTTTTTGCTTGATTAATTGGATTTATCCTTCTCCTGAAAAAATAAAAAGAACTTACATGCGTAACATATAGGCTTTTAGGGGCCAAATTTTTGACGACCGGAAACTTAGTAACCTTAAACGACATCGTATCATTGTTATATGTTATTTATATTAACAATGCAAAATTTCTCATTAATTACATCCGTACCCCTATTTAAATGCCACAACACTTCTTCTTCTTCTTGCTGAAGGCGCCGCCCGTTAGAATCTCCCGCTTGCTTCCTCCTTCGGAGACGCGACTCGACTCGACTCGACGCCTCCAAGCCGACGCCGCCAAGCGACACTGCGAAAGTCGTCTTCTCTTCCTGACGCCTCCAAGTTGTTCGGCCACGCAAGTCCCCGTTCCTCCCTCAGTCCTTGTGACGCCTCCAACATCTGCTATCCCGTTCGGCCACGCCAGACACCATAGCAGTTATCGAAGTTTAAGCCCTTGAAAAGGTCCGTTTCATGTAGAATCTTTAGATTGAAATTCAGGTATACTCTCCTTAGCTTTCTTGTCGACGACTGCCATGGTGGGTCTTAATTCTGCCGACTGCCTCCTGCTTGTCGTTGATTCTCTGATGTTCTTAGTCGTCATCCAAATTTGACAAATTCCATTAGTCTAACTATATCTTTTTAGTGAAGCACTTATTTGTTTTCCAAATTAGTTTCTGCTCACTCTTGTTTCCATTAAGCAATAATTTGTGTCTTGTGTATTTATATATATGAAGTTGATTTTGTCTCTCTTGCTTGCTGGTATAGAGCAGTATCATTGGGTTTGATACAATTTAGGTTTGAGTTGTGTTCGTCTCTTCATATTATTATGGGTTCTTACTGCCTTCTTCATCTAAAACTTTGGCTGTTGTATCTTGATCAATTTCTGCTCCACTGTTCTTTTAGCTACTTTTGTGCTGGTTGTGGAAATATATCCGTGACATTTGCTCTTTTTGAAATTTTGATTTTGAGTCAGTCTTCTTGTGGCTGGAGCTTGGTTAGTAGATTACAGAGGTTTACAGTTCTTTTTTTTCCTTGTTCGTTGCTGACCGGTCTTCAGTGAGGTTTTCATTTAGGACTACTTGTCTGTTTGCGGGTTGGTGTTGTTAATTGGGGACAATGATTTAGTTTGTTCCCCGTGTATGATTGTTTTAGAACTCGAGCTTTATAATAATGAAACTGAATATTACTTTTTAATATGTGTGCTTTTGTGTGGGGTTTTCTATTGTTACTGCAGTTCATTTTGCATATTTTCATTTGGCAGTAGTTTGAGAGGGATTTTTTAGAAACTATTTTTGTTTATTTTACATGGAACATTGTCTAATTTTTAGTAGACAATGTTTGGTTTTCATTTGAGGCTTGTTTGGTTCTTTTTAACATTGGACACCATCCCTTATCTATTTATAGATGTTTTTTATTTGTTAAATTTTGCATTTATCAATAATCTTTCTTTGTATTCTTCAGATATTTGTATAATGGTGGTTCACCTCTCTACAAGGAGTTGACAGGCGGTGCGGCCCCAAGGTCTCATCATCAATCCTTATTCTCTTTTTAGTATAATTTTCAGGTGAAAAAAGCTATGCACCACTTCATTTTTGCTCCAAACTTGTAGGTTTTGGCTTGTTTTCGGTTGAAACTACAAAGAAACACTTTAGATAAATGACAATTTCCCTTTCATAATAATTTCTTTGTTTTCTCTGGCTGCTCCTTTTGCAGTTTCGGTTTAGTTGTTAAAACTAGGAAGTGTAGTATGGAGCTCAGTGTCAAGAACATGGGGCAGGATTCATTTAGGTGAGTTACTTGTTTCTCGAAAATTTTATTCTTACGGTTTTTGTTCATTTGTCTCTTGTGAGTTACTGGTAGATGTAAGAAAAGCAATAAACTGTATTTTTTGCTCTTCTTTTGTTTATTTATCTATTTATCTTTGTATGTATGAAGGTGTGAATTCTGTTTATATATGCAAACTTAGCAGGATTATTTAATGAAAGAATCATATAACTGGCTCAATCAATTTGTTTGCAAGAATGTCAGCTTGAATTTTGTTCTTATTGCTTATAATATGACAGTATGGAAGGAGGAGATAGCAATGCGGAGATATTACCACCAAAGAGAAGTAACAAAAAGAAGCGTGCAAATGAGGTCTTGACAATGAGCAAAAATATGGCTTTGTTTGTGCTTGTACTATTGTTAATTAGGTTAATTGTCAAAACTTTTTGTGTATAGGTCTGTGAAGATAGCAAAGTAAAGAAAAACCAAAAGTTGAGCAAGTCCCAGAAAATAAAATTGAAGAAAATGGAGGTTTGTGTTTGCATGTGGTTCCAAGGATTCCCCCTGTCTGTGCTTATGTTTGGTATTGGGTCTGTTTTGTGCAGGAGGATAAGGAGAAAGCACTTTTATATTCAAAAAGCATTGAAATGTTGGAGTATGTTTTAGCTTCTTTTTTTAATTATTCTTTTATTCTTTGTATATATATTCCAATTTTTCTTGCAGCTTGTAAGAAATTGATATGTCTTTTCTTTTGCACTTCCAGGAAATACAAAATTCCAGAGGATGCATATTCTCTTTTGCGGTCTTCGAAAAGCATTGGAAGGGTTTGTGTTACTGAATTAGTTACACTTTCATGCTATTAATAAAATTTATGTTCCGTAATAATTTTTTCCAATGGGTATATATCTTGATGTAGGCTGAGACTCTGATGGAAAAGCGTAGGATGGCAGTTCAGTTTTCCAAAGCAGGTTTTGAAGTTCCACATACTGATGGATTTTTAAAGGGAAGAAGTCCTGATGAGACTTCTTGTGAAGCTGAAACTGATGTGGACAAAATTCAAGCAAGGGATATCTATGAGAATTCTCCAGTGCAATCGATTATTACAGAAATAAAATTTTTAAACAAAACACCTGATTCTTTGCTCTGTCCTCAGAAGCTGAGTCATAGTTATGAACTTGGTTCAGATGGTGGATCTAAGGGTTCATTATTTGCTGAGAAAGCTTCTGCAGAAGTTAATTGTTTGGCTATTCAAGAGGGCATCAGCCTTTCTACCACAAAGATTCCTGGACATGATGACAGACAAATCTCCAATCCAACGGTATTTTATGTGCTTGGGTTGCTGAACTTCAATTTGATTGAACAATGTCGTGGCAAGCCATGAAAAGCATTTAAAAGACATAACCTACATTACGATACCTTTATTTGGTTTGTTGACGTATGGATCTGACACATTTGATTCCAACATATGGTGCCTATAACTAGATGAATTTAATTCCTTACCTTTATTGGTTGATATCGAATGAGTACACTGGAAACTAAACATCAATCTCCATATTATATGACAAATTTTTCTCGTCTATATTGATAGTAAATTCTAAAAGACAATTAGAAAATAGTGAATTCTAACAATAATTTACTCATCAAAGATGACAAATTTAAGGGAGGGAAGTATTTTTGTTACCACAGGTGCCTTTTATAATTTCTGTCTGCCATTTGTATTTTTCCTATTAATGGAAAATTATCCGTATTTTAGGAGAATCTAATGTTTTACATAAATATTCTTTTCAACTCATCTTTGAAGCTTAAGTAATATCTAAAGAATGAGATCCTTGGTAAGGATGACTAGTAACCAAGTCTCTGAAAATTGTTCTTTCTTGATCTTAAAATTTTCTAGTCATGTTGACTGGTAAAGTTACGCGATATGCATTTGTTGAGTATAGATTGAAGAATGAACTGATCAAGTTGTTGTAAGTGCTGCCTTTTATTTGTAGATTACTGTCTCTATTAGCTAATTTGAGGGGGTTTGGCATGGAACAGGATGGAGTAGATGAGATTAAAAATAAAGATGCTAGTAGGAGTACCAACCTTGCAGATTGTTCCTTACAGAGGCCTGTTATGTCTCCGACTGTAATCCATGTACTGAGACCAGATGAAGTGGAGAACAAAAGAAAGGATCTTCCAATAGTGATGATGGAGCAGGAGATAATGGAAGCTATAAATGACCAATCAACTGTAATTATTTGCGGCGAGACTGGTTGTGGTAAAACCACTCAAGTTCCTCAGGTGGGTCTAATTGATTTTACCTGCTTGGTCTAAAAACTATTTTATGTTCCTAGGATGTGTCATATGAATTGATTTTTCATCTTTCAGTTTCTATATGAAGCTGGATTTGGTTCCAAGCAGCACAGTGCTCGAAGTGGAATCATCGGTGTCACTCAACCGCGTCGTGTCGCTGTTCTTGCTACTGCAAAGAGGGTAGCATTTGAGCTTGGTCTTCATCTTGGTAAAGAAATTGGGTTTCAAGTTAGGTATGACAAACAAATTGCAGAAAGCTGCTCCCTCAAATTTATGACAGATGGAATTTTACTACGAGAAGTTCAGGTTTGCCTTCTTTTTTTTCTTTCTTATGAAGTTCAGGTTTGCTTTCCTTCCACTGGCTGTTAAATTTTGTTTCAACATATATAAAAGCTTTATATTGTAGAATCTTCGAAGCTGGATTTGTACTTGTTCAATCTTTTCATAAAAAGTAAATTCTTATCATGCCTTCTGTCCCCTCCTTTTATCTCCTTTTATGGGACATATATGGCTCTCAATATGGAACTTTTTTCTGTGTATTGAAGCTTCTGAATTTTTTAGGTATAGATGTCACGTAGTCTAGGTTTTTCAAGAGTTAGTATTTGTATGTGATGCCATAAAAAAAAAAAAACTTTATTCCATTCTGTCTCCTAGTATTAGAGGCAAAATCATTTGCTATCCCATATCTTCGCATGACATTATTCCAGTGGGATGTGGGGGTATTGATATTGATTTTTAAGCTTTACATCTATGGCTTACACGATGGTTTCTCAGAGTGTTGCTAGTAAAAATCCTCTTAATGGTGCAGAATGATATGTTATTGAGGCGTTATTCCGTAATTATTCTGGATGAGGCTCATGAAAGAAGCTTAAACACAGACATACTTATTGGAATGGTTTCCCGTGTAATAAGAGCCCGTCAGGTGAAGAACAAAAGGAGCTTTATTATTAAGACAATGGAATAGAATTGTGCTGTCTTCTTTATCTTTACTTAACATGGTTTCGTGTTTGGTGACAGCATTTATATGAGGAGCAGAGAAAGATGGTGCTATCAGGGCAAAGTATTAGTTCCGAGAATATTATATTTCCAATAAAACTTATTTTGATGAGTGCCACTTTGCGAGTGGAAGACTTCATTTCTGGAAGAAGATTATTTCGCGAGCCCCCTCCTGTTATAGAAGTGCCTACCAGACAATTTCCAGTGACTATACACTTCTCTAAGCGAACAGAAGTTGTTGATTATATTGGTCAAGCTTACAAAAAGGTCATGTCAATTCACAGAAGGCTGCCACAAGGAGGCATACTTGTCTTCGTCACTGGGCAGAGAGAAGTAGAGCACTTGTGTCAGAAACTACGTAAAGCTTCAAGAGAGCTGAACTTAAGTTCTTCTAAAGGGAATGTAAGAAATGAAGTGACTGACATCTCTGAAATGAGCTGCATTGAGGGCATGAATATGAAGGAGATCAATGAAGCTTTTGATGTCAATAGAAATTCAACTCATCAGGGAACTGACAGGTTTAGCTCTTATGAGAACGATTTTTATGATAATCAAGAGGATGATGAGTCAGATCACTCATATGATTCAGAGACAGACAGTGATTTGGAGATTATTAATGAGGATTGGAACTCACCAGAGCAAAAAATTTGTGACAACAATGACAATCTTGTAGGGGTTTTAGGAGACAATGGAAGCCTTACTTCTCTTAAGGCTGCCTTTGAAGCATTAGCTGGTAAAAATGGTTTTTACTCTAATCCTGGGAGTAGTAAAGAGAGCATGCCTGTTGACATTGAAGAATCCTCTGGGCAAACCAGTTCAAGAATGGAGAAGACAGAGGACGAAGATAGACGTCTTTGTGCTGGGGCCTTGCATGTTCTGCCACTTTACGCCATGCTACCTGCAGCTGCACAGCTACGTGTATTTGAAGAGGTTAAGGAAGGGGAAAGGCTTGTTGTTGTCGCTACTAATGTGGCAGAAACTTCATTAACAATTCCTGGCATAAAGTATGTGGTTGACACTGGAAGGGAAAAAGTGAAAAACTACAACCCTGCCACTGGCATGGAAACATATGAGATACAATGGATTAGTAAGGCATCAGCGGCCCAACGTGCTGGCCGAGCTGGAAGAACTGGGCCTGGCCACTGCTACCGTCTCTATTCGTCTGCAGTCTTTAATAACATATTTCCTGACTTTTCTTGTGCTGAAATATCTAAAGTACCTGTTGCAGGTGTCATTCTTCTTTTGAAATCCATGGGAATTAGCAAGGTGAATTCTCTTTGTATTTTGATATTTGACATACCTTCAATTTTTTGATATTCCACATATACAAATGCCTTCTTTGTTGGATAATAAGAATCATGTATGAGTGATTAATACTATATGTTTCCGTACCAAGCATATTCGTGGACATCACTTCAAAATCTTTTAAGCTTAAGAAGATTTCTTTTCCTCCGCTTCTGTAACTTTTTCTCTTCTATGTAATAATTTTTCCTTTTTCATAAACTTCACCTCAATTTTGAATCATAATTTGAGGAAATAATTCCTTTTATATTTTATGGATATTACAGGTTGCAAATTTCCCATTTCCAACTCCTCCTGAACCCACTTCCTTGGTTCAAGCAGAGCGTTGCTTGAAGACTCTTGAAGCACTTGATTACGATGGAAACTTGACATCGTTGGGGAAAGCTATGGCTTATTTTCCGATGAGCCCGCGTCATTCTAGGATGCTCCTTACAGTTATCCATCTTATGAGAAAGGTGAGAAATTATGCTCGGGCAAACAAAGTTCTAGGGTATGCAGTAGCAACTGCGGCAGCTTTGAGCTTGTCAAATCCTTTTATTATGCAGTTTGGGGGGAGTCCGGCTGATAAAAAGGACTTAGACAATGACGACAAATGTAATGCCTCTGAGGTTGAGGAAATTGTCAACAAACAAGAAAAATTGAGGAAAAAGAAATTAAAAGAAGCAGCAAAAGAGTCTCGTACAAAATTTTCTAATCCTAGGAGTGATGCTTTGACTGTGGCTTATGCATTACAATGTTTTGAGCTTTCTACAAGCCAAGGAGATTTCTGCAATCAACATGCATTGCATCTGAAAACTATGGAGGAAATGTCGAAGCTTAGAAAGCAGCTTCTTCAACTGGTCTTCAACCAGAATGTGAATTCTGATGTTGGACATGATTTCTCATGGCCCCACGGAACCATGGAAGATGTAGAACAGTCCTGGAGGATTGCCTCCAGTCAATGTCCTCTGCTATATGATGAGGAAGAGCTCTTGGGCCAAGCTGTCTGTGCTGGATGGGCTGACAGGGTTGCTAAACGCATAAGAGGAGTCTCTGGGTTGTCAGAGGGGGATAGAAAAGCTAATGCAGTTCGCTATAGAGCTTGCATGGTTAAGGAAACTGTTTTTCTTCATCGTTGGTCATCTGTTTCAAGTTCAGCTCCAGAGTTCTTGGTATACAGTGAGTTATTACATACAAAACGGCCATACATGCATGGAGCAACCAGTGTTAAATCAGATTGGCTAGTCAAGTATGCTGGGTCCCTGTGTACTTTCTCTGCACCTCTTACAGATCCCAAACCTTATTACGAGCCTCAAGCAGACCAAGTATTTTGTTGGGTCATTCCAACATTTGGACCTCACTTATGGGAGCTTCCATTGCATAGTTTGCCAATTACCAGTGATGTGCATCGTGTTGCAGTATTTGCATATTCTTTGCTTGAGGGACATGTGTTACCATGTTTAAGATCTGTCCGGAAGTTCATGACAGCTCCACCTGGAACCATTTTGAGGCCAGAGGCATCTGGTCAAAAACGGGTAGGCAATCTTCTTTACAAGTTGAAGGCAAGGTCTATTGATAGCTGTAGAATGTTAAGAAAAGCATGGGATGAAAATCCTAAGGTTTTGTATTCAGAAGTCCTGGACTGGTTTCAGGAGAGCTTCCACAATCAATTTGAGGAACTTTGGTCGAAAATGCTGCATGAAGTCTGTTTAGAGCCCCAAGAGCGTTACCCTAAGAAAACGAAGAAGGATATAAAGCGAAGCAAATTGCTTGTTTGATAGGTTCACTGGAGGTATAACTTTGTGGAGGAAGTAAAAGCTCTGAAAGTGGGCAGAACCATTAGCAACAATGCAGTTCTAGTGTTAATGTCTCTGCATTACACTGTGAGCTGTCTCGTGAATCTACCTTGTCTTCCTGTATTTCAAGATGCTTTGCATTTTTGTGGAAGATAACGTTGCCTCTTCAGCCTATTGAATCTTTATTTAGCCATTGTACTAAATGGCAAGCTAAGTTATTGACGCTGATAAGATCTTTGTATTATGTTGCCTGTTGCAGGTAATACTACTATTTTCTTTTTACTTCAAGCTATAAAGTATTCTGCCTTTTGTGCGTTTTTTAGAAATCAGGTCTTTTCCTTTTCTTCATGTTGCCATTTTCTTTTACAGGAGTGAGGATGCATTAAAATTCAAGAAAATGGAAGAACTTAAGTCGAAGGAGATGGAGAGGGAAGAAGCTGGAAGATTGGGACAACAGAGTGGATGATTGTTGGCAGTTCCAACACTTAGTAAATGAAGAATACATACCATAAATGTACATGTGGGATTTTCTGCCATTGGTATGTCATGCATACGATACTGAATTGTCTGTTTTATCTTGTAACTTGGTGACGATTTGGTTCAAAAACTCTGTTTGGTTACAAGTTCACAGCTCACAAGGCCATGCTAGCAGTCCTCATGTCCTGTTCTTTGACATAATTTGTAACTGTCATCATTGTCGGAATACATAACACATATATTAATATATATATATATATTAATATATATACAGGAGAGGAAGAAAGAGATAAGGTTTATATTTTCATGATTATTCTTTTCCTCCATCTTCTCAACAGGCTACTGCCGCTGATCATTGGAGAAAAATTGGGTATTTTTCTACTGACTCTGATTAGAATTTTGTCATATAATGGTCTGGTGTAATTCTACATGTTTTTAGTTTTAATTTCGTTTAAGTTCTTATCGAGGAGATTACTATGTAGGGATTAATGCATTACTTGACGGAAGCGCTCTGGATGCAATGTATTTAAATGTCTTGCCTTTTCTTGTACTGGAGATGAAAGGTAAAAGACGGGGAGGTTATATGTTCAGTCTGACGTGTCTGATTCTTTGAATATTATTCCCATGCCATGGCTGTCTCCATGCGTTGATCCTGTTTTCATTTTCACGTGGTATCTTTTCAAGTGGACCTGCTGTGGGGCCTATGCTCAAGCCTCTGTTTGGGAAGAGAGAAAATTTTTCTGGGATCCTCCACAGAAAAAAACCATGTAAAATGGGAAAGAAATGAAGGAAGCTTCTTATCTTTTTTCTTTTTGGGCTAAAACATTAAAGGCGTGTTAAATTTGTAGTTGTAGAATTTCTGGTTAGTATTTGTAGGGTTGTTTCTTAGTTAGGAGATTCCAGTCAAGCCGTAATTTATGATAATTTCCAAAAGCCCCACGCAACTTCTGTAAATTTGGTTTTATTTGATATAAATGAAAATTTATTTGTTAATTAATTAAAATTATTTATAAATAGAATTTTATGTTATAAGACGATTTATCCATATGCAATTCAATTTATAAATTAAGATTTTTTTTTAATTTTTTATTTCTCTCTTAATTTTTATCATTTCACCTAAATTAATTTTGACTATATTAGTTAATATAAATTTTTTAAGTGCTCTTATTCAGTGCAACGAAAATATTATATTAATTAATTGTACCTAACTTATTGAGATTAATTAGTTTATTGACACATGTTTATTTTATTTATTGAAATATGATCTTATAAAAAATTCAGATACTAAAATTTAAGCATTAAGAAAAAAACAAAACATAAAAAATGAAGATAAGATATATACAATTAAATATATTACCTGAATTTTAAACGGGGAAACAAAGTGAATGATAAAACTTTCAAATATACACACACACACACACACATATATATATATATATATATATTAAAGCATTAATTAATTTAAAAATGAAACTTTTCATTTCATATTCTTGTACACATGCATGTTTATATCTTTTAAAATGGCTATATGTAAAATGATAAAATGATACTAATATTGTAGACTAATATGCACTAAAATTGTTTGATGATGTATTTTAATACATGCATCTAATTAATTAATTATAAAAATAATTAATATCAGTTTTAAAAGAGAAAATTCTTCATTTCATATTCTTAAATATATACATATATGTGTTTTTTTTTTTTTTTTGTTTTTCAAATGAACATCCATAAATCAAGAAATAGTATGCATGCATGTATTAAATCAATTTTAAAAACATGCATGCATCTAATATCGTAGAATGACAAATATTAATGTTATTTGATTTAATTGTAAAAGTAATTAATATTAATTAATTATGTTATTTAATTTCATGAGAAAATAATCCAATTTTAAATATATAAAATAAAATAAAATTATTACGATATATTATATAAAAAATAAATTACTTAATATAATATGTAACATTATGTTATCGTGTTCTAGGACCAAATACTTTGTAACATTATGTTAAACTAGATTAGGTGAAATTCTAATTAAAGAAAAAAAATTCAAATTACTAACATCTGAATCCACCATTCTTGACCCTCAAAGTGGAAAGGTTAAAAAAAGAAAAAAGAAAAAAGAAAAAAAAGAAAAACCTTGGGTGTTCGCACGTGCGGCTAATTTTTTTAAATGACAGATTGATCGCACGTGCGAACGCCTTTGAAATCACTCGTCACTCGTTCCGTGTTGCCTTGGTGCGTGTCCGTGATTCTTTTGCCTCCCTCCCTCCACTTTACTCCTTTTCTTTTTGTCTGCTCTTTACTGTTATTACTTACGTATTTCCCGGGTGGAAACAGCCAACGGAGCTCCCCGAGAGAGCTCTCGCGGCAAATGGACGGCTCGGATCGCGTTCTCAAGCTCGCTGATTGATCTCTGCACGTAAGCTTCTTTATCTTCAAAGTTCTGCTTCAATGATTGATGTCTACGTGATGGTTTTGGGTTCATTTTGAAATTTTCAGGTTTTCTGGAGGAGGATCAGATGCTTTCATTTGTTATTTGATCTTGTTTAATCATTTTTCAATATGTTCAAATGTGTGGCGCGCTGTTTAGCCTAAGCTCGTTAAAGCTTGTTTGCTTAAGTGGAAAATTTTCCCGTGAGATTGTTTTCCTTTCTTTTTTAAAAGAAAAAGTTTGATTTATGCGTGCAGAATCTTGTATTGACCTTGGCTGAAGGTAACTGTGGAGAACTGATCCCGTTACTTCAGATTTTTTATGCAAGAGTCTAACCAAGCTACTGAGTGATACTTATGTGCTCCAGTGAGGTTCTTTCTTGATGATTAAGATGAAATTAATACGTCTTGGCTAGCATAAAGGCGATCTGAAAAATTTTAGAGATGTAATGAAACTAATTCGGACTATGTGTTGAGCATAGGTTCTTGCGGGAAGATATTAATGTTGTTGGTGGAGTAGGGGTTGACAGACTTGAAGCAACTTTATTTCTATGTACTGAGTGAGGGAAGATATGGAGAAGAACGGAAGTGATAAGTTCTTTGATTTGGTATAACGAAGAATTTTACTTTAGTAAAGAATAGAAGCCATTTTTGCAGGACTCCAAACTACTTTTGATGAATCTTTAACGTTTTGCTTCTATTAACCTTTCTGTGTCTGTCCATGGCTGCTAGTTCTTAATGAAATTGAATTTGCCATATATTTTTAAGAGACATAAACAAGTTATTGTCTTTTTGTTGGATTGGATATATCTTTCTTTGTTGAACACTGGGCATTTTGATTTCATTACCTCACTTTTTATGTGAGTATATTACACTGTTGCTTATAACTTATTTTTTCCTCTATATTGTCAGATTGACTGAGGCAGACAGGCAGTTGTCTGGAAATGGAACTAATGGAATCTTGTGATTGCATTGACACGCCATGCCCTGGTGAAGAACTCTTAGTGAAATATCAGTATATCTCAGATGTCTTAATTGCTCTTGCATACTTCTCCATTCCCCTGGAACTTATATATTTTGTGCAAAAATCCGCATTCTTCCCATATAGATGGGTGCTCATGCAATTCGGTGCTTTTATTGTACTTTGTGGTGCCACCCACTTCATTAACCTCTGGACTTTCAGTATGCACTCTAAAGCTGTTGCTGTGGTGATGACCATTGCAAAGGTTGCTTGTGCTGCCGTGTCATGTGTAACTGCTTTGATGCTTGTTCACATTATTCCTGATCTTTTAAGTGTCAAAACTCGGGAATTATTTCTAAAAAACAAAGCTGAGGAGCTTGACAGGGAAATGGGCCTCATTCTTACTCAGGAGGAAACTGGAAGGCATGTTAGGATGCTGACTCATGAAATTAGAAGCACAATTGATAGACATACTATATTGAAAACGACACTTGTTGAGCTGGGTAGGACATTAGGCCTGGAGGAATGTGCATTGTGGATGCCATCACGAAGTGGTTTGAATATGCAACTTTCACATACTCTAAACTACCATATACAAGTGGGGTCCACCCTGCCTACAAACCTTCCTATAGTCAATGAAGTCTTCAATAATGCTAGAGCAATGCGTATACCTTATACGTGTCCTCTTGCTAGAATTAGACCTCTTGTAGGAAGATATGTGCCACCTGAGGTTGTTGCTGTACGTGTTCCTCTTTTACATCTGTCAAACTTCCAAATAAATGATTGGCCTGACCACTCTGCAAAGTCCTATGCAATCATGGTTCTTATTCTCCCAACAGACAGTGCAAGAAAATGGAGAGACCATGAGTTGGAGCTTGTTGAAGTTGTGGCAGATCAGGTCCTTCTATATTTTACTGTTCTGTTTCATAGAATTTATAAATGTCAATATCGCCTTAATATTTCCAATTTTCAACACTGCACACAAATTGTTTATGTATGATTGCCTAGGAGCTTCCAACTTAAGGCAGTATATGTTATTTTAAGAACCTCTTATGTAAAGCTATTTTCACGGAGGTATCATTTTAACAGAATTAGGATCCCTGATTTTTATCCCCTTGTCCTGATTTTGATGCAACACGTGAAAGACTTGTGAAGTAGTTATGTCCCCCCAAGCCTTTAGCCTTTATTTATCGGTAGATGGAACTGAAGTTTTTGGCTTGGAGGCGTCTAGCGACCAGTGCAGGCTGGGTCCATAGAAATGGTTAAATTACTAGCGAAAGTGCTAATTTCTTTTGTACAAGTGAAAAATACTTTGGTTTTTATTGCTAAACTATTATTGGATTTTAATACTGTATTGTTATATTTAGATGTTTCACCCTCGTTTTTTTTTTTTTCCGTGATAATTTCATCTCATACTATGTGAGAATAGCGTCTGTAGATATGTATTTTTTGTTTTATTTTTCTTTAAAGAAAAAGATATTACTAATCTAGCCATTTCCTATATGTGTTTACCTAAAGATGAATGGTCAATGGTCTTATTTACTTGCTTCTTGTTTTGGTGCTTTCCACTAATGTCAATCATTTTTCATCCAAGTGTTCTCATGGTATGTTCCTTGACGATGAAATTGCTTTTTGGGGTTCTTACAGGTTGCTGTTGCCCTTTCACATGCTGCTATTTTGGAAGAGTCCATGCGGGCTCGTGACCAGCTTATGGAGCAGAATGTTGCCTTAAATTTGGCTCGTCAAGAGGCAGAGATGGCTATTCATGCTCGCAATGATTTCCTAGCTGTTATGAACCATGAAATGAGAACACCAATGCATGCAATTATTGCATTGTCTTCACTCCTTTTAGAAACCGAGCTAACTCCAGAGCAAAGGGTTATGATAGAGACAGTACTAAAGAGTAGCAACCTTTTGGCAACACTTATCAATGATGTTCTAGATCTTTCTAGGTTAGAAGATGGTAGCCTAAAATTAGACAGTGAAACATTTAATCTTCAGGGGATTTTCAGAGAGGTAATTTCCCTGATCCATACTCCACATTTATACTGGAGGAATAGGAAATGATGACAGCCATCAGCCGTCACATCACTCACCTGTTACTGTCTTGTTAACGATATTGTTATGTCTTTATGGCAGGTCATTAACTTAATTAAGCCCATTACATCTGTGAAGAAGCTGTCTATGACTTTGATTATGGCCCCTGATTTGCCTGCATGTGCTGTTGGTGATGAGAAACGGCTAATGCAAGCTATTCTAAATGTTGTGGGTAATGCAGTGAAGTTCACCAAGGAGGGTTATGTGACAATTGTAGCTTCTGTTGCAAAACCAGATGCTTCAAGAGACTGGCCTGAATGTTATCCGGTGTCAAGTGAGGGCCACTTCCACCTGTGTGTGCAGGTCATTGACTAGTACCCTTTAGCCTTTTTGTCCAAAATTAGATTTTCTTATGTGTACCTTGTGTTGCATGTCAGTATGTATGTTTCTAATCTACAACTGAGTTCAGTTTTAGTGATTTGGTAATCTGAATTCCAATTAGTTATTGGATTTCAGTTAGAAGCCTGTGCAACTGTGCCTATATTGCTCCCAATAACATAGCTGTCATCTAGGATATCTCGCAAACTGCATTTGGATCTTATTTGTTATTGACCCTCTCATGTTTTTCTTGGCAGGTTAAGGATTCTGGATGTGGTATTCATCCACAGGACATACCTCATCTTTTTACCAAATTTGCACAACCTCGTAGTGGATCCAGTCGAAAAAATGGCAGTGCAGGCCTTGGACTTGCCATTTGTAAAAGGTAAAGAAATTTGCATATCAAATATAAGATAGCTAAAACTTCGGCCCATTTACCACAGAATTTTCATTTCCATTTTATAGTTTGACCTATAAGACTATAGCCATTCAAGGTTTGCTATATAGATAGTTTGACCGTATAATCACTGGACATTGAAATGTACAAATCATTCTTTGCTCCTTATATTTTCTTTCAAATAATTGTCAGGTTTGTAAATCTCATGGGAGGTCACATTTGGATAGAAAGTGAGGGTGCGGACAAAGGCTGCACAGCTACATTCATTGTTAAGCTTGGAATTTGCAACAGTCCAACTGATCCATCTGAGCGCAAGGTGGGAACCAAAGGCCAAACAACCCATGGAAGTGGTGATCTAACCAGGCATAAACCATTGTATCGGGATAACAATGGGTCAACTTCATCAAATCCCCGATACCAAAGAAGTTTTTAGATGTTTGGTGGGAGAAGCTGTCTGGAAAAGTAGGTAGCTTATTTAAATGGCAATGCCCCATTTTGATATTTATTGCAGAACTCCTGCACAATAAAAGTTTCTAATGACAAAATATATCGTTTTGTTTTCTGGTCTGTATTTAGTTGCAAGTTGGTGATGATCTATTATAGAATCCTGCTTTACTTGGCCACTATAGAGGTAATATATTGTATTCTTCTGTAAAACTAAATTGCAGATATAGTAGACATGGCTGAGGCATTCTTTCAAATCAGTGGAGGTTGCATTTGTTTTTATGTTCATTCAAATTTTAGTTGATCTCATCACCCGCCTTAATATCTATAATTAGACATATTTGTGGTGCTTTCAAGTTACTACTATTATTTTAGATGTCATGATAGTTGGAAAACAACTCTTACTCTTAAATTTAGAAGTTAAACTTGTACATTAAATAATTCTGAGGTGAAGTGGTGAAAACTTAACAAACTATATGTATATATTAGTATTACTTAATCATAATTGATTCAAATGCAATATAAATACTACTAAGAAAATGTTTGGACAAATGTAAGGTATTATTTCTTTGTGTTATTTTTGTTTTTGTTGTATAAGTGGTTCTGTACACACGGTAAATTAATAAATGAATCAAAAGCTTCGTAACGATCATAATTTTTTGACTCAGATTGTGTGAGGAGCGGTGAAAGGCATCGGAGGTTTCCGTTCTGGAGTAGAACAAAAATTTTTCTTCTGTACTACAGAAACCAATATAATTTCATTGTAGTTAAAAACGAAGAAGTACATGTTTTCCAAATATAGAGGATAAATATTAGTTACACAATGAACTAAATTAAGATTGCTTAATGCAGCAGTTCTTTTATGCTATTTCCCAATAGATGAAAGTTTTAAAAGAATTATTACTTATCATTAAAATTGTAAAGTCAACTTTTGGTGATGTGAACTTGAACTCCTGTAGATTACTACTTGTATTTGTTGTTCTATTGTATATTCTAATAGCCACAATTTTGAGAATTTATAATTCATAATTTCAATTTTTTTGATTAAATAAAATAATTTAATTATACTCCATTATAAATTGTATAAAATAATGAGACTTTCACATTTTGAATTATAATGTGTGAAAGGAGAAACAACATCACAAACTTTGAATAAAACTGAGAAAGCTATCAATCAGGGTAGCAAACCCAGAACATTTGCTTCCAATAGATATATAAAAGAGTAGACCAATTGAATTAAAAGTGGAGTAAAATGGATTCAGTGGCACAAAAAATTTACCAGAATGCTAAATATTAAACAACTTGTAAACTTTAATATAGTGCGACAAGAAGTTTCAACTCAAAAACTTAAAAGGCAAAAACTGGCTGAACAAAACTATTCTGCCATGGAATAAACATGCTATCTAAAGTCATAATCCTCCATTATCCCTCACATTTACTTCACTTCTTGGACTTCTTTGGCACCCTGCATCCACAAGGGTAGAAAAAGACGATTATATTAAGACTATATAGCCTGATCAAATCATACAAACATGGCAAACAAAGAAGATGCTTACTCTGTCGCTTGGAGTGCTGCAGCAGGTGGTGCAGATGCTGGCTTGTCAGCACCAGGGCCCTGATGATTGGAGTCATGTCAATCCGGGGCAAAAGAAATAGTTATATTGTTTACTCAACACAACCAGCAATTTGCTGTTTTTATGATACATAATTCCAAGTCAATTCAATTTCTAAATCAAATTTTGTTTATGATTTCTTAATTAACATGTTCAAATATAGAATTCATGGTTGTGGAATTTAAGATGGGAAAGGATTTTATTTAATGATGCACCAAACATGTAAAATCAAATAACTAAGATGTAGAAATTGAATGAGAAGAGAATTAATTTAACCAAAATACAATGGGAATGTAACTGAAAAGGAAGCACTTCAACAAAATAAGGTAAATTGAGAAGAGAGGACCTATAAAATTAAAAAATCTAGGACAGGGAGATTATCATAAATATAAGCAGATTACTTGAGCATGTCGCATTGTATATGTTTACAAAAGCAATCTAAATATTCTCATTATCATATATTTCGTTGTTGAATATAAATCATTCCATTAAACCATTACCTGAGCCAAACGTTCTTCCCTCCTAGCAATCTTTCTTTCTCTGCTTGCCTTATTCTTTGCCCTCTTGGCCTCAAATTGGTCAGACAAAGTCTTCTCTCTTGCCTTCTCAGCCTTAGACTTGTGAATACTCTCCATTAGAACTCTCTTGTTCTTGAAAACATTACCCTTCACTTTCATGTACATGTCATGGTACATGTGCTTGTCAATCTTCTTTGCTTCCCTGTACTTGCGGAGCAGACGCCTGAGAACGCGCATCCTCCTCATCCATAAAATTTTAGTTGGCAGCCTTGCCTCCCTTGTACCCTTGCGCTTACCTGGATGCAGCACACCAAAGAGTACAACAATTAACTTCTCTGGAGTAAGTTCCAGGAAAAAAACACAGTAACTACGAAGGACTCAATGGAGTACTGAAGATGACAGTAGCAAATCCAATGAAATTTCTTTAAGCTATTAAATTCAAACTAAATAATCCATATAAAAAAAGTTTTATCGTTTAATAAATTAGATAAGAATTACCATATCCAGAGTGACGACCCTTCCTCTTAGCCTCCTTCATGCGTCGGGCACGAGATCGAGAGTGGATCTTGGTTGGCCTCCTGATAATGAAACCATCCTTAACCAGCTTTCTTATGTTTTGGCCTGTATTTGGATTCAGATATCAAAGCTTAGACAACAATATTCTTTCAAACCCCTTTGCTCCACATACTTCAAGTTTATATATAGATACACATATATGCATACAAGCCTTGGACACGCGAAAAAAATATAGCTTAAGGTTTGAGTTGTGGTAAATATACAAAATACCATAGTATACTAAGCTAATAAACATCCAGAAGATGCCTAAGATCTATAATAAGTCCCCCAAATAGGAAAACTCAGTTCCGAACACCGAAAAGATCAACAGAATAAACAATGAATAAAGCATAAGAGGAAGATAAAAATTCGTACTATTAGCAACTATCACTCATGCCCTATCGCAGGTAGGATCCATTCCATTTCTCGTTTGTTAACCATGATAGTTTCAGCGGCCAGTAAAAACGTTAAAAGATCAAACACTCTCAGAAAATCAAGCATGTCATTCATGAGAACAGATAAGAAATTCAGCAGGAAAAGGGGACAAACGAAGGGAGAGTGAGTGAACATACGAGAGTTAGCCATGGATATTTCATTGGCTTCATTAGGATCGAGCCAAACCTTTCCCTTCCCGCACTTGAGGACGCTCGCGGCAAGCCGCTTTTGGAGCTTAAGCGAAACCATGTCCTCAAGTTTTCCACGTCTTGGTCGCAGCTGCAAAATGGCAGAGGAATTGAAAGGAAAGAGATGCGAAGAATTATATATCACAGGTTTAACCCTAGGGTTTGCTAAATGATTTTGTGCATTCGGATCCTATCCGGTTCGGGTTAATGGACTGGGCCAATTATTGGGCTGTGTAACTGATCGAAACTGGACCAGCATAACAAAAGTTCTTTGTAAGACCGTTAAATTCTAATATGGGCCCGGCCCATTAATTATCGAAAAAATTAATTATTTATAGAAATGAGATAAATATGTAGAAAGTAGGAGTGTGCAGAACACGTGCCGGAAGGCCCCGTAAGGAGGTGGAGTCCACGTGTAGGAGGATGAAATGAAATAAAATAAAATAAAAGGTACAAACTCTTAAAGAAGGAAATACAAGGGGCGCACACAAGGCGGGAGCCGCAGAGGGAAAATTACCAGCAGCGCCGCAGCTGGGATTTCAAGTCTCTTTCTTTTCGCGTCTGCCTAACCCCAGCTGAACCACACCAACCTCCATTTTTGACGTTTTCTTTTAAACATTCAATTTGATTCCTCTCTTTTTCTTTACTTTTTTTTTTTTTTTTTATTATTATTAAAGATTGCTGATTGTTTCTTCCTAAAATATCAACTTAAAATTTTGACTGAAAAAGAACAACAAATCTGATGTTTGACTTTTATCCACCGTAAAATGTATAATTATTTATAAATTAATTGTTATTATTGTAATATATTTTATGTATTTCTCAATATATTTTTATATTATTTCTAAAATTATTTCAATATTAATGCCTATCAAACGTGGTTATCAAAATTTTATGTATGATAGAATGTGCAGCTTATTACCTTTCTCATTCAATTTGGACATGCTACCAATTCTTAAAAAATAAAAAATAATCACATTAAGAAATTGTAAATTTTATTTTTTATCTAATTGCTTTTTTATATTTCCTTTATATAAACACATAATTGCTTATTTTTTATAATAAAAATAAAAAATTAAAAAAAAAAAAAAAAAGTACAAATGCATTTGCGAAAATTAAGCTGGAGAGCAAATATGGAGGACTAATGATTCCAAAAAGATAAAGAAACAAAAAATACGACGCACCAAAATTTACAGTTACCAACATTAGACAACAGTTCACGAGTTCAGAAGCGAAAAGCAGAAAGGAAGAACTGAAATCAGAGCGAAACGACGCCGTTACACGGCACCTGAAGTTACAGGGGCATCGTCGAAGCTCCACAGATCACCCACCACGCTTTCCTGTGCAGCAGTATTCTGCGCCGGAGATTGTCCATCAAGATACGGAATCTGATAGAATTTCATGTAGTTCTCGTACGCCATTAGCTCCTCTGACAATTTCCGCACCTCGTTTTCTTCCTCCTCCTGCTCTTCTTCCTTCACCCTCACTCCCCCATTGTTGTTGGAGTTCTGGTTGCAGCCGGTGAATCCCGGTGAATAAGAGTAACCACATTCCGATCCGGACCTGGTACCAGTACCGGAGTTTTCCTCGCAACAACAAATGACGGCTTCATTGCTCATCGCATTAGCTGCGTGATTCTCATTGAATCCGGTTGAATTACGAGAGAAACTTCCTCCGACCTGGTTCAGGTCGTACCCGAACTCGAAATCAATGCTGTTGAAATTAGCTCTTGGGTTTTGAGTCTGATACGGAGGAGGAGCGGGATTCCAGATAGCAGGTGGGTTGTGGTTGGATTTTTGAGTTTGGGTTGGTACGGTGAACTCGTCGTCTTCATTGGGGAAATTGACTTTCGCCTTCTTGCCGCGGATCTTGCGGGCCTCTCTGTCGTAGGCTCGAGCTGCTTCCTTGGCGGTGTTGAAGGTACCCAGCCAAACACGGACTCCTTTCCTCGGATCACGAATCTCCGCAGCCCATTTTCCCCACGGTCGTTGCCTGATCCCTCTGTACAGATTCTTCCTCTGCCTCTTCGCCTTCTTCTCCACCTCATCACCTGTTTGTAAAAATTCCACAGTCAGAACCCACAACCGAAAACAAAGCAGGGAGAAATAAGGGCACCTGATGTCGGCAGAGTCCTCTTGAAGGAGACAGGTTCCTGGCGAGGTGGTTCCGGTCGACTCAGTTTCTTCTCCGAGTCATTACAGTTGAAATTGGCGAACGGGGAACCGGGCCAGAGGTCAAAGGCGGTGATTCTCCGGCTACGATTACGAGGAATAAAATCAGCGATAATAGCACCGCCACACATCTTGGGGTGGAACTCGAATCGAAGCAAACAATAATATTATTAAGTGAAGACTGTAAAGGATTAATGAAGAAGAAGGTTTGGAAGAATAAGAAAACAGGGGTTTTAGGTGAGAGGTTTAAGGAGTTTGAAAATGAAGAATTGAAGTAATGAAGAGGAGGAGGTGGGGGGTTTTTGTAGGGGGAGAGAGGAAGACGAGAAGGGGTGACGGAGTCAGTGGAATTGATTTGGAACTTTCCTCAAATTTTGACATTTTTTTGTTTTATTACGTAAAAAAAAAAAATATATAGATTTTTACCACGTCTGTGTCTTAGTCTTAGCTGGCAAGTAATTTCCGACATAGAAATTAATCAGATTTTCTTCCAGCTTAATCTCACTTATTTCAAATTTAATCATTTAATAAAAATAGAAAATTAATAATTTTATTTTTCAGGATTTTATAGAAGCTTCTTTACTTTTTTAAAACAAATAAACTTTTGTTTAAGAGATTTCGAATTTCTTTTCTATTGACTTAAAAAATATTTAATTTTAACATAACCACTTGCCCATGAATTGAATATTATTCATATTAAAACTACCATATTTTCATATATAATGATGCACATTTTTTTAATATATTATTTAGGCTACATTCGAAATAAATTTACAAATAATGCCAAATCTATTTGTAAAAATTAAGCTGTAATAGAATAATGAAGAATTTTTTATATAAAATTTTATATAAATTCAAAATTTATTATTTTATAGTAATGTTTTTTATTTGTCTTTTACACCGTTGACGACTTGAGCATATTGTCTACATTTTTTTGGGGAATAGAAAAGAGATTTAGAAATTCTAAAACACACTATTATTGTGTTAAGTTTTTGAGGAAAAATAAAAGAAGTACTTGCTTAATAACCCAAACTTTAACATATAATAATAACAATGATAAAATGAGACAACCAAAATATACTAATTTTTTATTAGAAGATTATTAACTAATTAAACTACATACACTAATTATATCACAATTTTTTTTTATAAATAAAATACATAACTTAACCTTAAATCTAGAACACACTAAATATAAAATCTGCAAATTGAATTTATTTGTGAAAATAAGTAAAATATAATTATTTAATAATAAAAAAATAATAATTTGCGAAAGTTATTGCTTTTTTATTTTATTAAGATTACAGTATCACCTATTTAAGTTTAGATTTTTACGGATAATGTCTTACTCAATTGCTTTTGAGAGGGAAATACCATTTTTTACCCTATAGTGTAGGAAAATTGTTAAAATCGTGCCATTAGTTTTCCTCGGTACAAATTAATCGCAACATAACGCGAAATATTCAAATTGTATCTTTAACTATTATTATTTATTAATATTTATTAGTATTTACTATGTGTATATATTAATGTATATAAGTGACAGTAATGTAAATCAATATAAATACATAAGTAGGATATACGAAATTTGAGATTTATTGACTTCGAACACCATCCATATATACCCCACACGGTTTCGCCTCCATCGCAATAGTACCCTAAATTTTGCCATTTGTCCAAGTTTGCTTATTTAGTTGCTAGTTAACCCTCCATTGCAATGACACAAAAGAGCTTTCTTTTATGCTTCTTTTATTGTCTTATATTTGCTTCCACGATTGTTGCGCTTGCTTGTCAACTATTTTACCGTGAGTTATTTCATTTAATTAAGTCTCATATCATTTATTACTTTATTTTTTTCTCTTTTTGTACTTGGTAAACATAAAAAAGTATATTTATTACTCAATTATTTTAAATTTATGTTAAGATCTTAAAATAAAAAAACATGTTCATTATTTACAATAATGAATTTATATTTATGAATTAATACTGACTTTTATTTTCACTATAATCTTAAAAATGTATCTTAAAAAATAACATCTAAAAATTAAAAAAAAAAAAAGAAATAACATCCACGCGATGGTTTTCGAAGAAGATGCGGCTACCGAAAACGAGCTTTTAGGCTAAAAACTTATAGGTGGATGATCGGGGATAACGGTGAAGAATGAATTTTAAAGGTTGCAAAATTAAAGTATAAGAGTTTTAATTTATAAGGTACAAATACAATTTTTTTTTTATATAGATTTACGTAAACATTACATGATATTAAAATAGATTAAAATAAATGATATTATTATTTACATACATATGTGATAGAATTAATTTTTTCAAAGTAATTTGCACATTTTAAAAGTTAAGGATTGGAGTAAATTAAAAAAAAAAAATTTGTTGGTCCAATTTAAATATTTTTTCATTAGTTAAAAGGGTATAAAGTAAGATATTTTCGTGTAGC